CCAACTAAGCAAGCCAGAGGCGACAGCGGCAAGGAACCAAAACTCCCATCGGTGACAGAATGGAGAAAAAACCTTGGGAGAAACCAAGCTCATTCGGGGGGCCAGTTCTCTTCTGGCCAGACAAAACCAGCAATTCAATTCTAGGCTGCAGCAAAGTCACATTGAGCAGAGGACTCGACTGGTTCCTGTGGTCTTGTCCCGGTGGCCGTCTGAGACAAGATCTTTGCTGGGAATCTGTCTCTGGGGCTCATCTAGTTGTCCTGATCTATGCTGACATTCAGGGCTGTAGAAGTCCTCTCTAGGTGCTGATCCACCATCTAGTCTGAATAGATTTTTTAGGTCCTATAATTAACACTTCTGTTTATTCAGAATTTAGCAGTAAGAAATTACTCGTCATCCAGTTTTTTTATATCGACTATAGAGAGATACAACCACGATCACGAATGTATGAGATAAAATTAATTAATGTGATTAAAAACTATTTAAACTGACTACAAAAGTATTTTCTTTCTTCACCTCAGTTACCTTGCCGCAGACTCGAGCTTTGATGCAGCTAAAGTGATTGCCAAGAAGGGGGATGTGATATCGCTTAGGACTGCGGCTAATCTGGCGCAGATATCAGGAGAAAGTGAGCTTGCACATTCTCTCTCTCTGAGGTGCGCCAAAGACTTGATGCTCTTCCAGGACTGGGCTGCAGCACAGAAAGTCCTGAGGATGCAAGACTCACTTTTGGTTAGTTTTCAGCTGTCTTCACTGCTGGATTTAGATACGCATGTATGTTCAATAAATTGGTATGCTAGATTGACACTGATATGAATATTATTTTTATTTATGCAGGTTTTCCTTTAGTAGGTTTTGCTCTTGACATTAGACATTTTTCTATTGCCAGTAATACGTTTTAATATTAGAAAATAAATATTATGAAACATCTTTCACTCCTGCTCTTCACAGGGTCACAGACTGGTGTTTTGTGTTAATGAGATCCTCACTCAAAGACTGGCAGATACAGATGTGGTCACCTGGAGTGTGGCTTCTTCACACACCTGGTCTAAGTCCTGTGATGAGAACTTCCTCTCCACGGTGCACAGAGTGTGGCAGAGTGAGTTTGGAGTGGCGGCCGCTGACCTGGTCAAAGTGAAAACGCTCCATCAACAGTTGAGAGCCATTGAGAATCCTCCTGCCACCACTAGTGTTCCTCTGAAGCAAGTATGTGTGAAAATAAGATGCCAACAGATACACTTTTCATACTGCAGACTGACAGATCTAGTATAATATAAAAAATATTTTATTTAATGAATTAAACAGACAAAAATGCATGATAATATTGAACTTGGCAACATCTGTATAATATAATATAATACGTTTTTATTAAATTACACCGATAAAAATGGTTGATATTAAACTGAGAAGCATCTACAGGTGCATCTCAATAAATTAGAATGTCGTGGAAAAGTTCATTTCAGTAATTCAACTCCAATTGTGAAACTCGTGTATTAAATTCAGTGCAAACAGACTGAAGTAGTTTAAGTCTGTGGTTCTTTTAATTGTGATGATTTACAATATTTGAATACAAAAATTGTTTTACTAACCCCATATAATTTATAGCTAATGTATAATTTAAATAAATATATCATTATTCTACTTGTATATTTTTGTGTGTTCATATTGTGTAAAACAAGTTTTAAATCACCTTAGAACATTCTGTTGACTATAAGTAATGTTGCATCTATGTGTCAACTAACTTTCATTAGAGTATTACTAGACTGTCTGTCTGCTAACTATCTGCTAACTCTCTGTTTGGTCACCCAACAGACATTATGCTGACTATAAGTATCTTTACAAGTACATGTAAACTTAGTCTAACCCTGCCAGTCCACTAATACTCTACTAAGACTTTAATAAGAGCTAGTAGACATGTAGGTGCAGTTTTACTTGGTCAACAGAATTTGCAGAAGTGACCATCAAACTATAAAGTGAAACCCAACATTGTTTACTATAGATTACTGTGTACTATTATATAATTATGTTAGCATTACATCAGCCATTCAGTTATCTATTATAGTGTTCACCCTTGTCTCTAGATCATTTTTGACCAGAATGTTTTTGAGAGACAACACCGAATTAGAAAAAAGTAAGATATCTCTTTGATGTCATCATCAAATTCACCAATCTTTCATTTATCTTTTATTCCTCAGCTCTTATTTCACATCTCATTGGACGTGACACTGTGTGCTTTGAGTCAGCTGTTGTGTGATTGGCCATCTGTTCTAGAAGATCTGCTGCGAGCTCTTACTCGAGGTTCTGAGGTGGGACACTTTACGCTAATGACGGAGGTGTGCCAGCTGCTTCTAACACAAGGTTAGAGATATCAATATGTGTTTTGAGATGAGATGAAATGAAATCGCTCCAAATGAACTTTAAAGTGAACAGTTCACATTATGGATAGGCACATTTAAACAGTGAAGACTATGTAGCATAACATACAATTTAAGTAGTATTTCTTATTTCTAGTGCTTGATTTTTTTTCATGTAGGTCTATTTCATTTGTCTTTGTTCTATTGTAGTTTTGAATCACTGACCGTTTAGTATTAGTTTTTTGTGATATTGAAATGGATTATGGGAATTGTGAAATTTCAATGGTATCAAAAATTTGGATGATATAAAAACCTTACTTCAAGCAAAAATAAATATATCATGATATATATCATTATCGTGAAATTTTACTCATATTGTGATATCGTGATATTTTTTGTAGTATTTCTTATTTCTAGTGCTTGATTTTTTTTTCATGTAGGTCTATTTCATTTGTCTTTGTTCTATTGTAGTTTTGAATCACTGACCGTTTAGTATTAGTTTTTTGTGATATTGAAATGGATTATGGGAATTGTGAAATTTCAATGGTATCAAAAATTTGGATGATATAAAAACCTTACTTCAAGCAAAAATAAATATATCATGATATATATCATTATCGTGAAATTTTACTCATATTGTGATATCGTGATATTTTTTTTAATGCAGGTTTGGAGTCTGTGACATTCTATAAACAGAAACTAGACCCAACTGATGAAAGAAGCTTGGTAATTTCTCAAAGTGTGGAGGCGTTTGTCTGTTATCAGCTCATGTATAAGAAATGGTGGAACTACAGTGCTGAAACATCAGCTTTGACCAATAACACCTTCAGCAATGGTCTCTGTTTAACAGAGAAGAACCACAGTGAAGTTGAAGCAAACTGTAACGAGGAAGCTCAATCTGATGTCATTTTCTCTGAGGGCTTCTGGAAGGTTCTTCTCTCTGAACCTCACGCCAATCTTCAGGCCACCCAGAGAGCCATAGCAGAGATTCAGAGGAGAGTCACTAGCCTCATTCAACAGCACAACCAGTGTAAAGACTCTCATGAGAGCTCACAAGCACTTAGTACTTCTCAATCTGAAACTTCAGAGGAACATGGAGGATCTTTGAGTGGGAAAAGGTATTTCTAAGGCTGTACCCTCTGAATCGTTTGTGCTTTGATTCTGGTGCGTCAAAGAAGTGTCTTAACAGCTCCTTTTTGTCTCTCTTAAGCAGTGAATCTCTCTCTACTCTGACTGCCCAGCTTGCTGAACACCACAAAGTGCTCACTGCTCTTCCTGAGCTTGTCAAAGTAAGTGGCTCTGTCTGTTTAACATGCATAATATTTTAAGGCCGCTGTAAGTTTCTTATTATCATCATCATCATCAATAATAGTAGTAACTTATTATTGTTATCAATAACAATACATTTTTTCTTATATGTGACCATGGACCACAAAACTTTGAGAAAAATTGAGATTTCTACATCACCTGAATAAATAAGCTTTCCATTGATGTATGGTTTGTTAGGATAGGACAATATTTGGCTGAGTTTCAACGATTTGAATATCTGGAATCTGGGGTGCAAAAAAATCGAGAAAATCGCCTTTAAAGTTATTCAAATGAAGTTCTTGGCAATGCCTAGTACTAATCAAAAATTAAGTTTTGATATATTTACGGTAGGAAATTTACAAAATATCTTCATGGAACATGATCTTTAGCTACGTAATATCCTAATGATTTCTGGCATAAAAGAAGAGGCAATAATTTTGATCCATACAATGTACTGTTGGCAATTGCTACAAATATACCCGTGCGACTTATGACTGGTTTTGTGGTCCAGGATCACATATATTGTTATCAATATATAATTGCACATGAGATGCATATTATTATAATCACATCTCCCCCCCCCCCCTTTTTAGAAATACTCATTTCCAGATGTCATGGAATGTTGTATCGTCCTGCTGCACATGGGAAAATATCTTACTCCATTTCCACAGCACATCTGCTCCAAGGCAACAACTTTGTTGTGCAAATATGGAACTACAGAATCGCTCTGTAAAGCCTGGAAGAGACTGACACAATAACAGTTATAGCACTTAAAGTGTTTTTGATATGCAATTATTGTTGTTTGATATGCAATTATTGTTGTTTGATATGTAAAATTCACTTGACTATTGTATGTAATAAAAACAATCCCCCACAATTTACTGTTGTTACTGAAGCAATAGATTCTGTAATTCAGGGATTATCCAATGTTTTTTGTCGGCTATACATCTTTGACTTAAAATGTTTACTTGAAGTGTGCCAAGATTTTAAATTATTTCAATAATTGAATACATTTGCATGTTCATGCTTCGCTGTAGGTTAATTATCACATGACCAAGTGGTAAATATAAAATATTTAATCTTTTTATTAGATTTTTATCAACACACAGCCCAGTTTTATATATGCCATTTTATTTTAATATTAAGATTTAAAAATTGTACAGTTTTTGCAGCGACAGATCTTTCTCCGTACTGTGGTGTACATTTGAATCAAAAAGATTGAGGAAAAAAGTAGTTCATAAGAAAGGGGCGGAGTTTAATTAGACTAAATTATTTGAGAAGTCCAGCATACATCACATTTCACTGAAAGTTTCACGAAAAATCATGAGCTAAAAAAAAAGCCCAAAAGAAACATGCACAGATGAATTATTCATAAGATGGGTAGAAGAGTAAATTTCCACTTCATGTTGACTAAAAACTGGAGCAAAGGTTCAGATTTCAGAACACATGCCTTGTAAGTAGACATGAGACCATTGTGGCGATAGAAAACATTTTAATACATAACTGCCTCGAACAACAGATACAATAAAAACACGTACCACAAACAGTCAAGATTGTGAGACGAACACATTTAAAACGGTTACATAGGACCAGTGGACTCGTGTTCCCAAAGATGCCCCAAACCTGGATCTAAAATGTATTCCTTACAGAAAAAATGCTTAAAGATAGTTTCAATTTTAATATACATACATGCTGGCATATTTTAAAAACACAACCACAAAGTCATGTGTACCAATAGTGAGAGGGCATTTCCTCTTTTCTCAGTAATGAATAAATCTTGAGCCTTTCTAGAAAATATCAAAACATTTCTAAAAGGACTGAGTATATTAAAATGCCTGGAGTCTTGAAAGCCATAAGATACACAAGCGCTGGTCCCATGCTTAAAACAATGGTGTTTTTAATACTGTAAAACAAGATAAAATGTTCAATTTTCAGCTGATGGAAGAAACAGGATCACATCTGGAGTCCTGGAACGTTGCAATATGATGGACTACAGAGCAGAACAGAATCTGAGATTAGCTTGTTTGCATTTCCCAATGTCCCTTTAAGAATGCATGAGTAATTTGAAATCATCTTTGTAAAGAACAGGAAAGAACAATATCTGCTGGGTGGGATTAAAACAAGTGTGTCATCCACTAGATTTTGGTCAGTGCTTGTTGTTGGTTTCCTCCTGCGAGGAGTTGGAAATCCCATTCTGACTTTGAGAAGAACCGGATCCCAGGCCATAGAGCCGCCCACAGTACTTTGCATCGTCAATGTTGTCTTCAAAAAACAACTGAAGAAAAAAAAAAAACCGGGACAGCAGAATAAAGGTTAGGACTGATCAGCTAAAACCTCATTATTCAGCTATAGTCTCATTTGGCTAATATTAACCTCTTTCATGCGGAAGAAAGCCATTCCAGTGAGCAGCGAGTCTGAGCCAGCCTGATGCTGCCTGCCGATCCTTTTTAGCTCCAGCTGGTCTGCAACCTCCTGAAGTCCACCCTAAACACAGCAAAAAAAATTAACAATAACAGTAACATCTATACATGTAAACACGGGTTAGAGTATTTTTCATACCTTAAGGTTTTTGCAGCTCTTCATAAGATATTTGACGTCATAAATTGCTGGGAAGAAAAGATTTAAGATCTGAAAGAACTCATGTTCCTCTTCTGGCAACCGGGAATCTGTGAGCAGCTTCACCAGGTAACCAAAATCATACCCACTAGTGAGAACAGAGAACGTACATAAAAACATTTAGAACACAGTAGATGTACCATATTTTCTGGAATACAAGTCATGTTTATTTTATTTGAAATGTGCAGCGACTTATTTTCCAAAGCAACTGTCAAAACCAGTTTTTGGCCGAAATAGTTTGAAGGGCATAAATATTTAATGGTCAATGACATGTTTTGACTGTCTGTGTCGATTTCGTGCACGCAAGATGGATAAACTACAACAGGTAAACATGTCGGCAGTGTGGACCCTTACCTGTGGCTAAAAATTATGCCCAAATTGTAAAAATTGTTCAACCGAAATATTGAGAGGTAGCTAGCAGCCAAAGAGCTTGAATTTGAATGATTTATCACCTTTGAAAATGGCACCCTGAACATCATACCGAGTCCAAATTTACAACCTAAACTTTATTTTCGATTTATGACTAAACAAAAATGTTCATTTTTAGTTTGTGTTTCTGTAAAAAAAAAAAATAATAATAATTTCATTACAACTCTAGGTAGCTAGCAGCCAAAGAGCTTGACTTTGAATGATTTATCACCTTTGAAAATGGCACCCTGAACATCATACCGAGTCCAAATTTACAACCTAAACTTTATTTTCGATTGATGACTAAACAAAAACGTTCATTTTTAGTTTGTTTCTGTAAAAAAAAAAAATAATAATAATTTCATTACAACTCTACTAGTTTGAAAGACTTTCGCGTCAGCAGCATTTCATACATCACTACACTGTTGACAATGGACTTTTTGCATGACAAATTTCTACAAACATTCACTAATATGAAGGCACCTTTAAATTGACGTCATTAAAATCATTGTAATATTTTAATAGACTTTATTAAGCTCGGCATTGCCATGAGTCTACAGGGGGTTAGTCTCGGCCTCAGACGTCACGCCCACAGACCGCTGGCTGAACGTCTGATGCATATGGCACACAAAAGTGGAAACACTTCAGGAGTTTCGAAGTCGTCATCGGATTGGTTGAATTATATAGGATTTCCGGGAGACGTGTGTGTCACGTTCTATAACGTTCCGCCTGGAAACAAAAGATGGCGTGACGCCAAACCCCCTCACGAAAAAAGAAAGCCGTCGTGTTTACAACTGTGACAACGAGCGCTTATCAGGATCAACTAAACGCTGGATATTCAAAAGTATGTGAAATATTTAAAGTTCGTGGCATAAAATCTTTAAAATACGTCCGAGTTTTACACTCTTACACAGTCTGTTATTGTGGCAACATTTCGACGCCCCGAAACGTGACGCTGAACGAAACAAACTGTGATTGGTTGTTTGGCATGTCGGTCAAACGGCCTCATGGGCGGGCCTTGGCCAATGAAAGCTGCCATGGATTCCAGACCTTCAGCCGTCAGTCTGAAGGTCTGGCTAAGCGAGACTAACAGGGGGTCTTCTCTGTGATATCAGTGATATCTGATCTGTGATATATATATATTATATATATGGGCCATTCTACATAATTGGTGCAAACTGCTGTCCCACAATCAAAAAACACATTTAAAAAGCATTTAAGTATTAAAATCTTAGATGTTTACTAAGATCCTTCTATTATCTATTGAAACCCACAATAATATTTAAAATATTAGTAAGCTTAATTGATATAAAATCATTATTTTTTGGGTACTTTCCATTGTGAGGTGGCTGTCCCAAAACCTAACCCCTAAATTTAAATTTTTCCATTGTTGTTTTTAAAAGTATTTTTTTTATTCTTTTAAAAAGAGAAGTTCAAAAAAATTTATTATTTTATAGTTATATATAGTGTCTGTAGTTTTTTTGGTGTTATCCCATAAAATTGTCACTACCGAAACAGTCACGACCGAAACATGTCATCATTGTTTCGGTCGTGACAAAAGAGAACACACAATCCTCATATTTGGGGGAAATAAACTATTTTAGCACAGTTATGCAATATTTTGTATTTTAGTATGTAAGTTGAAATTCTGTAATGTGATGTGGTCGCTACAAAAGCATTACTGTCACTACCGAAAATGTGCAGTCACTAACGAAACATGGGATGTTTTGTCAAAAATAAAGCATACTGAATTATCAACTAAGATGTTATGATGAGTTTTTGGTTCAATGTATATTCAGACTAATGAATCCATAACTTTGAAATCAGTATGATCAACTTTTTGCCTTTTACATAGAAAAATTAAATTCAAAATACAACAAATCTTGTAAATTACACTTGAAATATTGTTATAAAAGTAATTTTTATTGATTTACCTTTGTAAATATATTGTTTTTTGCTATTTTATTTAAATGTTTTCAATGTAGATGTAAGCAAAATCTCAATAGGTCAATATAAACATTCTAATTAAATTATTATTACTGTTTTTCAGTAGTGACAAATTTGGGGAGAGGACAAATATTCCAAAACTTTCTGAAAATACAATATGAGAATTAACTGCACAATTACTAGAAATGTGTACCTTGGATATTATACAATTTGCATACATACACATTTTTTGAAAAAAAAAAAAAACTTTTTTTCCCAATACATTTCCAACTCTGACTTTGGACCAATTCTGTAGAATGACCCATATATATTATTTTCCTCTCTTTTTCTCTGCAAGTTGGTGCACCACATGACTTCGATTTAGCATATGCAAGGTTTTAAATATTAACAAACATAATACAATAACAAAAAATATTAAATTTCATAATGAGGTTTTTATCTTTATTAGGATATCAGGGCAGTTCTAGCCCAAAAATAACAAAATTTAGAAATTAAAAACATCATAGAAGGGGTGTATTAAAGTCATTATATGTATTAAACTGCGTGTTTAATAAATTAATAGATCTGCACAAAAAATGGGTATGAAGTCTTTGACCCAGCAATGATTTTTTTTTATTTTAAAAGTGCTATTTGTTACCTGTGAAATGAGAGCCACTTGACATTTTCACAAAGCACAAGGCCTGATGTCATGAGGAGCTCTGCGAAGTAGAGTGTGTCGATGCCCTCCTCCTCGTGCTTTTTAAACTGTAGCCCAGAGTTCTGAAGGAGATCTATGGAGTCCTGGGAGTACATGTCCTCTCTGCAAAACACGGGGCCAAACAACACCCACCATCACTACTAGTATCATTACTGGCTAAGGCTAAATCTAAAAATACTGGCATAAGCAAAGGATAAGCAAGTAATGCTGGACACCTACGTCAGATTGAACTTGAAGTTAAACTGCCATGTTGTGGTTCCAGGCGGGTAGTCTCCATCTTCATTCATAAACGTCAAGCCAAGCTGGATGATTTTTAAAAGGTCCACATTGCACCTCAGGAGCTGGTACTGATAGTCAACAGTACTACGGAACTCTCCAATGGGACGAACCACCACACCGGGGAACTCAGTGTCCTGACGTACACAAAACAAACAAACCAAGTATAAATCAACACTGTGCAAAGCACAAATATGCTAAATTTGCTAATATTTTTGTTGAATCACTTATATAAAATATACAGTAAAAGCAGTAATATTGTGAAAAAATTATTATTTTCTATATTAATGAATTTTAAAAGTCATTTATTCCTGTGATTACTTCAGTGTCACATGATCCTTTAGAAAACATCCATGCTGATCTGGGGTAAGTTTAAAAAAAACAAAAAAAACTTATTCTGCAAGAACACATTAAATTGATCAAAAGTGACAGTAAAGGCATTTATAATGTCACTAATGTCAAAAAAAAAAAAAAGATCATGGTTTCCACAAAAGCTTTAACATGGAAATTTTTATTTAAATATTGAAGCATCTTGTTGATATTTAAACATCTTGTTAAAATGATTTTTGAAAGATCATGTTACACTGAAGTATGCAGTAATGGCTACTGAAAACTTCTCAGGAATAAATTACATTTTAAAATATATTAAAAACAGAAAACAGCCTATTTAAATATTTCACACCATTACCCTCTTTACTGTATTTTGATCAAATAAACGCAGCCTTGGCAAGCATAAGAGACTACTTTCAAAAATATATTTAAAAAAAAAAAACTTAATTATTCTAAATGCTTGACCGGCAGTGTAGATGTGCTATTTGACCCATAACGCTGTTTGAATGGTCACTTTAAAATTATTATAGGACATTTCTTATGTCATTAGACCATAGCAGACCATAATGGAACATCAACATAGGCGCACACACCATGGCAATGTAGTTGTAACTTTGAATGATCTGTCGTATCTTCCTCATCTCCTCCTCCACATTGCTGGCCCAGACCTCACAGATAATCTGACTGGTATCTGCAAGTGCGGCTGGCATGATGATGATGAAGGCTGAGGAACTGACCAAGTAACCCAGCGATTCTGAAGCTCTCACAGGCAAAAGAAACTCTGCCAGGAAGAGCAATTAGATGAATGAGGTTTGAATCAAAAATACCATGGCTTTTATTCGGATTTAACTCTTATAAGCATTGACATATTAAAAAGAACATACATTTTGACGAAAGACTGGTGAATATTAATAACATAGACAATGTTCGCAAACTCAATTTGAGTCTATTATCAGGGAAAGGATTTTAAATTCACTTATATAGTGGAAATACGACAAAAGCAGGTGAATATTAATGAAATACTGCTGAATATTAATTTTATATTAACAACCACAACGCTTTCATTAGCTTAGATTCGAGTTTATAAAAGCATTTATTCCAAATGTAACCCTCATGGCCGTGGAAATACTAAAATAACCATAAATATGAACTAAACGTTCATGAATATTAACCCACATAAGTTTAATATTCACAACTCTAATAATTGACTACCTGAGCATCTTCCAATGAATTTCCAATATAAACGGCAATTAACTAATTTGATTAAACATCTTAACTGTTCAAATAAGAAGTCGGTCGTGTAATATAAAAGTAAATTAACCATACATTTGTTGGATGGGGGATGATATTAGCTTTAAAACGTTAGCATGTTTCTCTGCTGTCTCCAAACACATTAACAGACAACATTTGTATTACGGCGAGACTATGAAACGATACTACACAAATATCAAAACGCAAACTTTCAGAATGACTAGATACCTGGCACGAATATAGTCGTTAAATGTAGATGTAAAGCCGCTGTGCTAGCCGGACAGCTAGCAGCGACTCTAAACACACACAGCGCGCTGCTTCCGGTCCTGCGGGATTGTGGGAAAACACCCGCCAAAACTAAAGCCTTTCAATCATTGGTAGAGCAGAATGGGGAAACAACGCACAACCTAGTGTTATTAAATTACTTAGTATATCTCCTAGTGTTATTAAATTACTTAGTATATTAGATAGATAGATAGATAGATAGATAGATAGATAGCATTTTTATAGCATAATTGGAATCATTTGCTGAAAATGGCACATATTTTGCCTTTTTTGATATTTTACTGCAAGTAACTGCACATAATAGTTGGAATGAGAAGAAAATTTTGGCTTCAAACATTTCTGTACAGGTAAATCTATTATTAGGAATGTGACAGTACACATACAAACACACAAAAAAACATTATACAGATTAGAAGAAAGGATTTTTTTATATTTGTTGTGAAACTACAAAACATAGTATTGTGCTGGTGATATATTTACAATTCTGGTTGACAGTACAGTGTCGATGATAAAATTCACAGCTTTCAGAAGTCTCACAAGGAAAAGAAAGACAGCACACCCAAATCACAAAAGTGCAATAAATACAAGCTGTACTTCTCCAACCATCTCTGTGATCAGATCAGGTTCTTTTTCCATCATTAATACAAGATTTCTTTTTAAAAAATTAAATTAAAAAAATTTAGACTTTTCTAAATAAAAGTCCTACTGTGAACAATAAACAAATGAATCATTCATGACTACCAGCATCAGATACTGACAGCATTTTTTTGTTTCTTTGTGATTATTTTGAGCAAGTATTACATGATTTATGCATGATTGGACCAAGCGTCCAAATAAAAAAGCCAAATATTATGTCCTTATGAACCTCAAAATTGATAGTTAAGAGCACCTAATCAACACATACTGTGAACGGTAGATACTGTACGACCAGTGAAAACATTAGACATTGTCAATTATTCGAGTACTCTCAGAATGAGATCAACTGTAGTGTTTCCAGGTAAACAGCACAAATTTAAAGGGGACCTGTTGTTTCTCTCACATTCAAATAACTGTAAATTCGTAAAAGCTGTAAATCTGAAAAGTTCTGGTAAAAATAATAATAAAAAACTACTTTAATTAAAAATGCCAATGTGAGAAAAATGTGCATCACGCAGCAGCTTAACAAACTAAGCTGGGATGTACTCTATGTTTGGCAGTGTGCTGTCTTAACTGGGTCTAATCTGCGGAAATAACACATTAAAGAAGAGAAACAGAAGTCAAAGAAATGTTTGCACTCTCATAAACTAAGTTAAACAACAGAGTACAATGGCTTTAAAGTGAAAGCTATATGATGCTTCTATTTGAATTAGATATTTGGCTAAAAGCTTTGGGACAGCATTTCGGTTGGGTCTTAGATGTCGTTTATAATGCGGCGCCATCAAAATAAATGTACAATCTCCATCCCCTAAACCAATTTTAGGCAAAATCACAATGGAGGAGAAATTAGGGTTTCATAACAAGAGTGCTATATAGCACAAGTTCAACTCACTGTCTGTTTGCCACTAGGTGGAGCAAGAGACTAGGCCATATGCATATGTGCATTGCAGATGAAGGAGGGCTTCTGGACCATCCGTACCAGACTTCACACTAGTTTCAAACATTGTGGTATCATTTTGGAGCATATCATCGCCTGCTTAGTCCATACGGGTAAATTTATGCAATATAATGAGAGTAGAAATATTGCTACTACAATTACTATGGCATAGTAGTTGATCTGAGGTTGAACCAAGGACAGTACATTCAATATTTCCTTTAGGGAAAAAAAACATACTGAAGCACAGGAGGATCTCATTAAGAACATAACTCTACATGGGAAGGCATGCCAGCAGGGGAACTGAGAGAATGCAAAACAAAGACGTCAAGAGCATCTTAGCCTAACAAGGTGTAGATCAACTGGAGATTTCACGTAACATTTAAACGTGAGCAAAATCCATGGAATTGGGCAGGTAATACCATTCATAACTGGTTAAATTAGGCCAACATTATGTACAATGTAAATCAGTATCAAATAAAGGGTCGCATCAACTGGGGCTTTTTTTTGTTTGTTTTTTTAAAGTGCTACATTCAGACTAACATCTTGGCCTGTGATGCAAAGCTATTGTTCAAAAGGGGTTTTAATGACATGGTAGTAATATTCATAGTCATCTATTATCAAGATACTTACAAAAAAATTGGATTTAACTGAACATCTTGCATGTAGATGAAGAGTTTAGTGAAAATCAATATTTTAGATTAGCATGGATGGAGCGCTCATTTACATAATGCAAATCACCAGTGACTCCCTCCGTATGAGGAGTCTCCAAATGTTACAGAAACGGATCTCTGCAGTGGCGTGCGATACATTATTAAGTGTTTACAGGGAGAGCTGGGAATTATAAACTGCGTGCCTTCACAGCTTTCAGTGCCTTAAGATGTGTTGACGTTTCCTTGCCGCAGCAATGATACGCACTGTTCTTCTTAAATGGTTCAATCTCACAAAAACTATCCAGGTCATATTTTTCTCCAAATTCAAAAGACGAACAATTAGGAATTACAAAAAAATGACACCTTTTTTATGGCCAATAAGGATTTTGATTTGATTGGATTATTTTCAGGTACTAGTCTACTGAAAGGCATTTTTCTCATTATTGTATAAAACAACAAAGAACAAATTTGCGATACATTATGATAGTACTTAATTTTACATCATAAAAAAAATTGTAACGAGTAGAAAATAATTCTCATTACAGTAATGCATATGACACTGCAATGAGTTTTTCCTTCACATTACAGTATTAAGAATTTAGACAAAATGTGCTCGATTTTCATCAAAATAATCTTACATTTCAATTAATTTTATTGATTTTATGCAAAATATAATTTCCTATGGAGTGAAATATGATAAGATTTTTTGAGATTCAACACACCAAAGACTCTTCTAGTACTGGTAGGTAGCAATTAAAATAAGTTTTGTTAAGATACTGGCTTTGATGTAAATGAAATGATGCTACCGTTTGTGTTCAGTAGCTTATTAGTTACATACAAAGCCAAGTTTGTAGTCTAGAGCAAACTAGACCCCGGTTGTGAGGGGGGGTTTTAGATTAAAAGAGATCCAAACCAGTAGAAATGAAACACTATTAGAACATGCCACTGTAGGAACTAGACTGGAAAGTTAATATAACCTAAAAAGACGCTTAAAGTTTTCCAAAGATGCAACAAGAGCTAGTATATGGGATAGTACGATCTTAGCGTTCACAATGTGCTTTTTTGCTTAATTCTCTATATCGATGCCTTTTTTCTATTAAAGTGCATGAACTATCTGATATTCTACCTGAGAGTTTGTGGAACTAAGTGCAGTTTCTACATCATTTTACGAACATTTGCACTAACGTGTCTTGTTTGCATGTGCAATTAACAAAACGAACATGGAGAACTGTTAGCAATCAATTTAGTCTACTAAGAGGTCTAATTAACTCATGCTTTAGATTCATGCTTGCTAACATCTGTAACCGTTTACACATTAGCAAAAAAAAACAACAACTGTTGAACATAAATGTGGACAGATGTGCTTGTTTTAGAGGGACGTGACTGGAATAACAGGATTTATGCCCATTCATTTTGTCCTGAACCCTTGTGCTATGAACAGAAGTAGTACCCTAAAGTATCTGTATTCACATCTTCAAGAGTTACAGTAAGCAGTTCTGCCCAATTAGCAGAGCTCGTTTCAAAGACGAACTGGTGTTTTTGAATGACCAGTAAAATACCTAGTACAGATACGGACATACTCTTATTAGTAACAGAACATGGTGAAATTAAAAAATAAATCTATCTAAAAAAAACAAACAAACAAAAAAACACGGCTCTATACAATTTCAGTTTTGAGAGTTAAAACCCAGTGTTTTAAAATTACATTTTTCCTGCCCAACATACATTTTCCTGTCACACCGTTCTTCATTCTTCCTAATACCGCCAGATGTCAGTTTTGTCTCCATGGAAACAGCAGTTAAGATGGATATCTTCTACACGTCATCAGCTGGTAGGTCAGGAATGTTTATCTTTGCCCTGGTGAAGAAGGCCATCTTCTCTCTATGAGAGATTACAGCAGACAATAAGTACAGCTTGAAAATGAATGAATGAAAAAAAACAATGGAAGGGTTATTACTTAATATTAGCTCTGTTCCAAACCGTAGTGAGCTGCCTATCCAGCAAGAATTTTAAAGATGCACTCCAGATGTGATGGCTATTAATTTTTTTTAACTGAATGTGCAGGGCTTTCAGTGTCATTCGCTTCCAGTTATTTTGTAGCTGTACAAAGCTTGTTATGCTGCTTTATACAGCAAACTAGTATTGTTTACTATATTATTTTAATGTATTATCGCATTTACAAAATCACTGATTTGTAGCGTAAATAGTTTTACCATTGACTGCACTTTGTTTTCCTTCAGGTCCTTTCCCTAAAAGTCTCGCACATTCACAGAAAACGTTTGCATTGGAAAATAAGCTGGATATATAAAGCAGTCCTATTAAGTAAATCATAAATGCCCAATGCCCAATATTTGTGCATGTCGTGTTTTTACGCTAATGGACCCTTTTCATATTTCTGGAGTTCTTGGAAGCCAAAGTCATCATCATAGCTGGGGAAGTCTATGGTGGTGAATGGAAACGACAACAAATCTCATTTTTGCATTTCCATTCGCAAAAAAAAAAAAAGAAAGCACAATATTGTTTCTTGTGATTTTCCAAAAGAAGGAAAAAAATATCAAGAGATTGATTCTGGTGATCAAAAGCGAAAGAGATGTCAAATTTGCAATCTCTCCCTTAGCCATTTTATTAGAAACACCCATGCAGCAGCATTAACTAGTGTTCTGTAATTTAATGCCAAGGTAATACAACAGTACTATAGTATTATAAATGTACATTCTTTTTTTAAATAACAGCGGAAACGCATCATCACAAATCTGTGACGGGTCCATTAGAGTATCGCGTCATTAGCAAATTCAAAACTCTATCTGCTACCTATGTAGAATACTCCAAATCAGTCATTTATGAGCTTCCATTTGAGTTTAAGGTGCTGACTTAGAAGGTAGCTGCCTATGTTAGCCATTAGACACCATTGCAGCTCAGATTTTGGAACAGAGCTATTTCTTCCTCCAATAACCTATGCTTAAGACGATGTTTAGGATCAGTTCAAAAGCAGTGGTTTGGATGGGTAGCAACAGACGCCCACCTAAAGGACTGGACCCCAGGAACCTCCTTGAGGCTCTGTCCACGAATCTTGTGCACATCCTTGGCTGCTGCTCGCATCATCTTCTCTACCCTCTGTTCCTGTAGCTGCTCTTCATGGGTCTAAAGAGAGAGTGGCAACACAAAATCAGATGCAGGAATGTTGTTTAAGAGGGCCCGATGACAGGCCATTTGTGACTTACAGGTGCATCTCAATAAATTAGAATGTCGTGGAAATGTTCATTTATTTCAGTAATTCAACTCAAATTGTGAAACTCGTGTATTAAATAAATTCAGTGCACACAGACTGAAGTAGTTTAAGTCTTTGGTTCTTTTAATGAAATCTAGTGGGACTCACCTGTCTCTCTGTATGTTTGAGCAGCAGACGAAAGCGCTCATCCTCCTGCACCCATGTGGGAAGGACATGCTGGCCCTGTTGCCGGGCGCTCTCTAACTGCTCCTTTAGCTCCTGCAGCACACGCAGTTCCTCGTTCAGTCGGCTGTGCCGTGTGCGAGTGACCTGCAAGTCCAGCTCCAGATCCAGAGAGGTGCGCAGGAGCCCGTCCAGACCTTTGACCTGCATCTGTGGCTGTGTGGGGGAGAAAACTCGATCAGTGATTCTTTTGGGTCATGTAGGTGTCTTGTGCTATTTACTGCTGTATTGTATATGGGGAGTCAAACGTCTGTGACCAGTGATGAAAATTCTTCTTTAAAATCTTATAACGTTCTGTTCATTTACAGGTTAGGTTAGATTTTGAACTTAGACATTCCCAGAGATTCACTGGCCACTGTATTGGTATTGTTATATTGGCACATATAAATTAAAACTATTCAGTATCATTCATCTCAAATCTTAAACTGCTTGGCAACAATAGCCATTTGATTAACACCATTTACCTTACCTTTGTAGACTGGGACATGCGATTTTCATTTTTAAATAACTAAGGAGATTTTAAAGCCTGTACTATAAATCATTGAAGCTCTCTGTACTGTCCTCATTAAGCAAATCAATGCAAACTTTCAACATCTTAGTGTCTTTAATAGACTCAAAGTAATGTGTCTCCTAAGGCACAGTGAGAGCAAACCTGACCTTTCTAGACTATTTAAGGGCCTGTAAAGGTGCTCAGCAAACCCATTTCCTCACGCTGAGACTGTGCTTCATTAACACTGACCTCAGGTCAGTACAGAAATGTAGGTATTAAATATTAAACTTCTGCTAAAAAGCTTTAACTCCCCTTTCTAAGGAAAGCGTTTGGCTTTAGGGTTGGTGAAATGCCTTCAGTTTCCTAAGAAAGATTCAGTGGATCCCTGAGTGGAATTTGATTCTAACCCTGACTTGGAGTTGAGATTAACTACACAGTTTTTATAATTGGGGTCCCAGACACTCCCATGTTTTTCATATTTGAGCCCCCAAACATTTTTTTCATGGAGGATGGTTGAAGCGTTTTTATTGAGTTGTAATTTACTTTCGAATGAGTTTTCATAAGATTAGCAGAGGCCATGAAGGATCAAACTGAATGTAAAGCATTTTTTAAGCTATTAAAGGACTGAGAGGTCTATCAGACACCAAACTGAACACACAAGGTTTATATTTGCATGGCAATTCATGGCAAATTTTAAATAGTACAATTTGTTTCCCAAATGAGTAGATGTCAATGTCAATATTTTATGTTACCTTCTTCATTCGAACACTGCGTCTCTCTGAGGCATTCCGGACGAAGGGAGATTTCTTAGACAGGGTGGAGCTGTCACTGTCGCTGCGGTTGATCTGGTGACGTGATGATTGTGGGTATTGGTAAAAAAAACTGAGCTATAATACCACTATCAGTATGTTCATATATTTGTGTGTGTGTATGTGTGTTCTTACCCTGCAGATATACTGGCTCTGAGGTCCAGGGGAAAATGTCTTGGACCGGATGATGGTGTTTCCTCGCATAAAAGGGTTTTGCTGATGGACATCATGTCGCCGCTCCTTGGGCCGAACGACCGAAGCAGAATGCGGGAGACCGTCCACACTTGTCTGTTTATTCACCTAATAAGGCAAAGAGAGGATGTCAAAAAGTTTCACTGAAAAGGTACACAAAACTTGCATAAAAGCAATGAGAAAGTTGTAAATGAATCATCAATGTCACCTTTTCCGTTATGACTGCTGTTGGTCCAGGTTTAACTGGCTCTTCCTCCTGTTCCCACTGGCAGTCATCGGGGTAGAACTCCTCGTCCTCCTCACCATCACTACCTTCTTCATCCACAAACACGTCACCCTCCAAAGCCTCTGCGGGGCTATTATATAACATATACCATTTGACACCAGGGTTATTATGGCTCAAAATGTTTAATTTTCCCATGCATTAATTAATTAATTAATTGTAATCGTTAATTAATTTAGTTTTTACTAGGGATGCTCCGATCGATCGGCCGGAGATCGGTATCGGCCGATAATCATCGGTACTCACTACACTTGGCCGATCTCAAGAACCGATCACAATTTGATGACGTCAACGCGTGACGACGTACATGATGCGTGGGGACATAATTTAATGATTTGGCGCCACAGTCATGTCATCGCCGGTGTGGAAATGCTATTACGTTTCGAGAAACAATGAAAAATTCGTTATTTGTCCTGCATGTTTTGCATGATGATATGATGAATGGATGGTTCATTTTTAACAGCAGATTCAGTGTGACGTTAGAGCTGATCTGCGCCTGACTGCACACATCTGCGGCGCGTTACGGCTCCACGGCTACCGGAGCTGATCGCGGCCGCTCTAGTCAGTGCTTGTGTTTATGAGCCAGCCGCGGCACGTTTCTGAAGCGGCTCTCCGTGCTGCTTGGCTAAAAATAGTCTTTTGTGAGTTGTCACAGCGTGGAGGACGGAAGAAAACCTCGTTGGAGCCGTAAGGGATAATAGTAACATAACACGCTGATCGTGGGCTGCTTTTAAATGAACATTTATTTATAAAACAAAATATCTTCTTTGGCCATATTAGCCTACTCAATAGCATTAACACAGGCTTTACTCCTTTCAAACTTTATCTGGAATGTCACCGTTTCTGTCACTGCAAC